CAGGCGCGAAGATATTGGTTTTTGTTTGTTTTGAGAATTTTCTTGATTGTTTTGGAGAGATGGTAAAGAGGAATTTGGTTTGATGGTTTGTTTTGTTTTGAAGTAAGCAGGACTGCTGACAAGGCATGCCTTCGTGGTACGGTCGACTACGGGTCATTTTGGTTTTTCTCGGAGCATGACGATGCATACGAGTAGGGGGGCTATTAGATATATTGGGAGTACTCGTAGCATAGTATGACGGTTGAGATGTCCGGTACGTACGTACGAAAGTAACAGTGATGAGATGCGGAGGGATAGGAACTTTCTACATATATTCCTTGGTTGCGAGAGGTATTTGGTGGAGATTCAGAGAGATTCGTTGAGTGACAAAGAGTGAAGGCGTGCCCAGATACCATGAAGGTTTGACGAGCACTGGCACGCCCCCGATGAATACAATACTTTCCAATACTTTTGCATTACGTTTTCAACACGTTTCCTACCCATCCACGCTCCGCCATGAGCCACCCGCTTTGAGCTCCAACCACAAAGAACCGAGCCACCCGAATTATCGATCATTCCCCACGGTTTTCTCTGACGTATTGAACCCTAGCCAGCATAGTACCCAGGTGAGATGAGTGTTTTTTCAAACTTAGATCGTGCTGCAACACTTGTGCTATCCGTGGCCTCTGAGGGAGAGGGCTCGTTTTTCATCTCTTGCGCAGACAAAGAAAGCCATGCATGTTGAGAACCCAAGTTGTCAGACCGTGTTGTGTGTTTGTGTGGTATTTGCAGAACAATTTTGAAACTCTCTCACAGCACGCGCCTTCTACGATGTACTCGACACTACATATGTCTGCTGCTCCTACTGCTATTGAATCTTCTTTTATTCCCTGTTAGTGCTGCAACGTTGCACGGGGAACTGCACAAATGGGTAATTCTTCGTTGGTCAGGTTGAACACCGCAGCTTCTGCTTCCACACCACGTGGGCAGCAGCTAAACTACCAACGGACTTGAACTGCTGATGATGTCACAGAGCGGAAACTAAAACGCTCCGCTTCGTATCCAAAACGTTGTCAATAACCACTCCATCAACACCGCAAATGCTGTTACAACGCACACCCTCGTCTTTCGAACCCGGGTTCATCCAGATTTCATCCGTCCCCTTGGCTGCCATGTGATCACGTCGCTCGGGCGCTTTACTTGTTGTTGTTTTCGTAGCCGCTCACGTTCTGGCGATTGCTAGGGCCCCGGCTTGACAGAAATGAGCTAGGAGGTATTGTTCCCGAGCCGCTGTCCGCGCGTTGCGTTTTCGAACACCTTTCGACCCTTACGTAAGCGTCTATGCAGAAACGTGCTTCTTTTAACTCTGCGCACTAACGACTCCTTCTCTCCTCTTGTGCGTTCGACGACGTGCAGGTGCATCGACTACATGTTCTACTATCCTGATCAGAGACTGCCAGACGGGGGAGCGTGCGGGGTCTTCGCGTGCGATGGCGGCGTTCTGGGCTATGCGGAGCTGGAAGCCGACTCCGACTTCAACCGCAATTTCGGGATAGTGAACACGTGCACCTCGAGCTTACCCGGAAAGGAGGTGGGGCGCAACACGGATTCCTTGTCAGATTCGACCATTTGTACACGACCAAGTATTAGAGAAATAAACCTGTATCGAACAATCTGTACCGATGGGCGTACAACAAACAACACGAGGAGGTTCCACACACCACCAACGAACGGGCGAGGGTGAACCCCTGGACCGTAGATAGGAGGTGTCAATTTTCTAGCGGTTCTGTTACCCTTGTTCTCCGAGCAGTAAGGGTTTTTGTTCATCATAAATGCGTCCTCACCTGCTCATGGCCTTAGGTACGTTTTGTCTTTCCCTGCTCCCCGGCTAGGTCCTGAACCCAACAGACAATCCCACCCCTCGCATATCGCGTGCCACCGGTCAGCACGTGCTAATATCCCCCCTTTCCCCCCACCCAACACCACGCCTCTTGCTCTCAGGAGGGAAGTAGCGACTCGAGCTCCTCGTCACGTGCGGCCCGGCCCCTGCTCGGACTGTTGTTGGCGGTTTCCACCATCATCGCAGCGCTCTCGCTTGAGATCATGATGGCGTAGACTAGTAGCGGCCTGCAGAACACCTCGCCAATGGGTTCAGAATGCGTTTTCGGCTTGAAAAAAGAAGTAGGCAATGTTCGTGTTGAGTCGGTGCCATGTCATCTAATCGAAGCGTGTGGCGTCTGCACTCTCATGCAATATCATTGGGTGAAGAGTTGTTTTATGATGCGCTCTCCATTTGCCGCCAAATTGCTGGCGTGGCCCGAGTGGTTCGCTGCCTTCGCAAGGGTCCACAAGTGACCCCGGAAAAGTTGTCCTGTCGTTGAAGATCAAGGATTAGGAGGTAGGACATGTAGTAGATAGAGGCGCGTTCATCACACCAACCACAATCCCATCGCACGCAAACACACGTGTCTGTTGTATTCGCCAGCACGTGCGTGCGGGATGTCGGAGTCAGGCTAGGTGTCTTGGCTAATGTCAAGGCCGCTCAAGACCGAAAATATACGTATTGTTGTGCTCCACTTTTTTCCAGTCACTCAGTACCTTCTAGTATCCGTTCTCGTCCAGCGGACCGACGGTCATGCATGGTTCTTTTGGTTCAATTTATTATTTGTGAAGCTCTTTCCGAACGCCAGGATCGATTACGACTCGCTCGGGGAGTCCCAGCCAGGGGCCATGCCGAGTCGATCCTTCATGGTCATGATTGTTGAAAGTTAGCCTTGTAGGGGAGAGGATAGGGAGGCTAGCCTGAAAGCCTTCCCCTCGTCGATATTTTTTGTATTATATCTATTGGGTGGGGTGCTAGCAAAGTCCGGGTTTCGGCTCCGGTTCGGACTCCTCTCACCAACAGGCACGAGAACAATTCTTTACGGTGTACGCTCAGGCTAGGGTGCGGCAAGAAAGTTTCGTGTGCATAGATGTATGTCTCAACAAGGATGTACGCATAGTCTATTCTTGTTAAGATTTGGACATTAGAGCTACAAAGGTCGGTAAGTGATTCGTGTGTGTTGCCATGTTGGTATACGGTAAGCGATTCGTGTGTGTTGCCATACGTCCATCTACAGCAGTAATACAAAGAAAGGCGCTACTGAATACCATTGGGAATAAAATTGGATACCGTTGTGTCCAGATCGGCCCCACTTTCCATCCATGTGCCGCCCCGTTTCAACTGGCTTTCACCGCCGTAAGACAAGAATGAATGCAGCGACTCCATGGGGCGAGGGCCCCGAGGCTGAAACAGGAAAAAACAACAAAGCTCAGGGGATGAAAGTCCAATACTGGCAGCGCCGCTTCAAATGGTGAGGACATCAAGGTCTGGCGGACGGAGAATTTGTCGACCAGTATATTGCGTTGTTCCGCCCTGTCGATGGTGTCGCCCCCATTATTTTTCTTTCTTGACCCAACGAATCCATCTCTTATCTATAGAAAATAGTCTCTAATATACTGTTGTATTTTGCTCTTGGCCTAGGATCATTTAATGTAAGTATTGGATTTTTGGGATGAGGCCTCCAGCTCTGAGGCCGGTAGTCCCATGGATGCACTATCGCGCCGACTGTGGTCGGCGCGGTAATGAATCTGTAAATGATCCAGAAGCATCAAGCTTTAAGAGTAGGGAGGGTGGGAGGTCTCAAATTTCTTCCTCTCCTACCCGGTGTTCTCTCGTATTCACGGTAGGGAGAAAGACAATGATCGGCTGTATGCATTTCTCAACATATTATCAGGGCAGACGCCTTCATTCATTTTCGTGCCGAATTTGAATTCGGTTGTAGCCCAGATTTTACTGTTGTATTTTGCTCCTGGCCTAGGATCATTTAATGTAAGTATTGGATTTTGGGGATGAGGCCTCCAGCTCCGGCCCGTGGTCCCACCCATACTTTCCTAGCCGTGTGTTGTCCTTGGCCACTGGCCTGGAGCCTGGTTGATTCACCCAAACTTTCGTGTATTCCGCTACGTGGATAATTACGACGGCTTACGGCGAGCGCGGGCGGCGATATACATCAGCAATGAATCCAGAGCGGCAGCCGAGGCTACCTGAAATTTCCACGATTTCCCGAGCAGTAAACAGCGACATCTCCCCGGTGGGTTCTTGGATACGGAAGTTATGTCTTCGCGGAGGAACCAAAATTTGGATACATCTCGCGGGGGCGTCCATATATATCAACAATGCGCCATTGAAAGCTGGTGAAAGCCTGTGCGCACGTACGTAGTCGGGATTTTCTTTTGGGTTCCTCGCACCTCGTCGTAGTCCCGGTTTGCATACATACATACTATAGTACTGTGCTAGAAGAAGCTCCACCAGCTGCCGAGTCAGAAATCTGACCAATGGATATTACGAACACAACAATACCGCTTTAGTCTACGCCTCAATCTACATATTTCCCAGCGGGCATTACGCGAACACCGGACCCCCGTAGAGGGGACAACAATACCGCTTCCGCCTCAACCTACATTTTCCCAACGGGCATTACGAGAACACCGGACTCCCGTAGAGGGAGCAACAATACCGCTTACGCCTCAACCTACATTTTTCTCAGCAGGCGATACGCGAATGCCGGACTCCCGTAGAGGTGGCAGCCGAAGCACACCTTGTTCTTAGTCTACCGTCTTGAGCAGGTTAGCCATCAGCCAAGACGCCGGACTGACTGACTTTCTGCAACTAACAAACTCCGCTAATCCCGTACGCACATACAGATATCACGAACGAAACATGTACGTGAGTGCACAGTGACGGTTGCTGTCGTCAACGAACCTCCACTATCTACATCGTGTTCTGTCTCGTATTCCGTGCTCTCCAAAGCAAAACATACTTAATGGGTCACACGTGAACCCTGACGAAAGCATCGAACCACCCAAAATCGCGGGCCATACTCGCAGAATGTTGGGATAATGAAATAACTATTCACCCAATTGTACTCCTGAGAGTGCTGACGCCCCAGACACAAACGAGGTGGTTTGCGAAAAGGAATTTACACCATGACTATGGTATCAAGCGCGGGCGTCGCGATGATGATGAAAACTGCCCACAGGAGTCCAAGCAGGGGCTGGGCGGCACGTGACGAGGAGCTGGATTCGTTTCCCTCCTGTCATCGAGGCGGCGTGATGTTGGGTGCCGCCGAAGTGAAGCATGCACATATACATGTGGTCAGCAACGGTACGTGACGTGCGGCGGATGGGGGTGTCGGTCGGTTTCAGGAGGTACAAATAGCCGGGAAACAGGAAAAATCAACTATTTAACGCCACTGGGCCAGAGGAGAAGCGGTTAGAACAATCATGAGAAACGCGTTTCGAACACGTATTTGAACGTTGAACGGAGACTAACAACAGAACCCCAGGTGTAGGATGCACAGCACTATGAACTCAATGTCGATGCATCCTGGACTCGTTCGCATCTGCGGATAGAGATGACTCGCGTATTTTTCATCAGAAACATACAAACACATATGTAGTCTGCGGAGGAAGCAGCTAGTGGTTGGGGTTCTTCTCCCGAAAGGAAGCTTTCGGGCATACAACGAGGGGCCTTACAAAACTACAGCCGGGAAGCAGGAGTTACCGAACCGTCAGCAAATTACAACTGCTTCCGTTCAGCTGTTATCCCTCGTGCGTTCGTTCGTGGTGTGGAACCTCCTCACGTTCTTTGTTGCCACTCACGCTTTAGCATTCGTTACAGGCTTGTTTCACTTAAACTTCGTGATGTACAAGCGTTCGAATCTGAAAAATAACCCGTGTTGCACACCTCACCTCATCCCCGGTGAAGCTCGAGGTGCACGTGTCCACTATCCCGAACGTGCGGTTGAAGTCCGAGTCGGCTTCCAGCTGTGAATAGCCCAGAACGCCGCCATCGCACGCACCGACCCCGCATGCTCCGGTGTCGGGCATTCTCTGATCAGGATAATAGAAGACGAAGTCGATGCACCTTCCCATTGTAGAACGCACAAGAGGGAGAGTAAGCGTACAATATCACGTGTGTGCATGTATGCAAGGAGCGAAAATTGTTCTCGAACGCCCCGCGCAGAGCGCCACCTCGCTCATCGCTGCCTGTTCCGGACCGACCCTAGCGAAAGTGAGCGGCTACGACAACTAAGAATCCAAGCGACCGAGAGACGGTTTACGCGGCGGCTAAGAGGCACGAAGGCTGGACAAACTCGTGGTCAGCAGCCAAGGGCATACATTGTAAATAATAGTACGCGTGTTCACGGAGCGGGGGCATTGCTTACATCACGTTGTTTACAAAGGGGGTCGGTTTTGTTACAGCTCCGCGACATGTTCACCTCAATATCCCCCGGTCCGCTCCGTGATTTATTTTCCAACGTAATAATCGCCCTGCTCCGCTCCGTGACAATTAAAGGGACAACAAGAAAACCTTCCACGGCGCCGTTCTACTCCGTGAATATCAAGCCCTGTGGTGATAACGGTTCCCCTCCGGACTCACATTTCTTGTTCCGACCCCAGGCCGAACGTGACGTTGGCCGAGGATACCGAAGAGAGAGACGTGTCGTACATGCACTCCGTCGTGAACCTGTCCCCTTTCTGGTAAAAACTCGAGCGACGGGGTGCAGGGACACGTGGAAGCAGCGTGAAGACATTTTGGGTTCTAACCTATCCCTATCCTCAACTAAATGAGTGTGTCGGCGACCGTCAATTTTCTCTGACTTCCTGGGTTAGACTGGCGGGGCCAAGGAAGCTGAGATTCATCCCTTCGGCGTTAACCAGGATCTGGGGATCGTGGTGCCGTCGAGTCGCGCGTCATGGGCAACCCGAACACGGAAGGAGACTACTACAATGTGCCGACGCCATGGGGATGGATTCAAGTACGACTCACGTCTCGAGGCACTATTATCCTCGTCACCCGTTCGCTCGTGAAGCAGGTCTGAGATATGATCACCATCCCACTGTCTCGTGAAGTAAGTCTGAGACGCTATCATCGTACACATCCCGTTCGCTTGTTACGCACTCTGATGGTGATGGTTTCGTTGTTGGTAACGAGGTGTCCGCCGGCCTGCAGGACGGAGTAGTACTCGACTTCGGCCGTGTGGATCAGGACCTCGTTGCCATCGCTGTCGTTGCGATACTGCCGTGTCACCATCCGCTGGCCGTTCTCGTGCATGTGCAACATGTGGATGAAGACAGTAACCTCCTCTTCCTGAGGAACAAAAACATGAAAATCAGAACATGACAAAGAACGATGAGAGAATGACGCAGCAAGGAGATAGACAGGGAGAAACTTGCTTACGTAAGATCGGTATTGTCACAACTCCCCGGATCGTCGTGTGGACGACACGGTTCATCGCACGGACGCCGCTTGAACTAGAAAAGAAATATGTGTTGTTGGCCTAAGCCCCGCGTAAAATGACCTCGCCCAGAGAGAGTGAGAACGCCTTGCCGGGAATCGAGGGGCTCAGACGTATCACACCTATAGTAGGGCCTTCTCTCTGTCGCATACCAAGAGACCCCATAGATCGGTATCGTCACCGAGAGTACCCCAAACAAGAATGTATCCTCTACATGTACCTCAACATACAGCAGCAGTGGTTGTTCCTCAGCCGTGCCGGTATGTGCCCGCCAGATTCACCGGAACTATTCGGACAATGAGACAGCTTGATCGAAACTACCTATGAATATTCCATCCGTGTTTCGCGACTTCAGAGGCACAATACCGGACCACTGGCACTATTCAACCGGCACTACATAAAATTACTGTGGGTGGAAAGTAAAGCGGGAGGGGTTGGGGGCAGGGGCGCTGTGCGTGTTGCCCAGCGTAGAGAAAGCACTCACGAATCAGAGAATTGCAAGAGAACACAGCAGCGGTCGCTCCGTCCGATATTCAAGCACTTCCAAGTATAAAAACAAAATACAGAGTGCCCCGGGAATCACACCATGAAACGACCCGCCCTGTCCGCGCGCCTACATACCTCGAAATTTGTCTCGGAGCAGCTACCCGGGCAACCAAACGAGAAGCTGGACTTGCCCTCCGGCAAGGGTTGGTCATATAGGGCGACGAACGGATCTCCGAGCTTCATCAAGCCCATCTGGATCGGCCGCAGCTCCTCGGTGTAGTACACGCGCACGCCGGAGCTGTCGTTCTTGCCGCTCACCCCGTCCGGGTTGTTGTAGTGGGTCTGAATATTCAGGGAGTTGAAACCGCCAGATTCGTTGCCGAACAGGAACCCGACGTCATCGGGCAGCTCTAGGTTGCTCGTTCCCGGAGCCCATAGGAAGATGTCCGCTTGTTCGCCGTAGTTGCTGCAGAAGGTGGGGACGGTGATGTTGAGATTTTCGAAGTACTCGGTGAAGGACACTGACGATGAGTCGTCCGAAGGATAGGAGGAACCAGAGGGGCTCGAGGACGAAGCACCTTCTCCTCCTTCTTCGACGGTGGAGGAGGTGGAGGAGGAGGAGGAGCTATCGTCGCCCCCGAAGATTTCGTCCAGCCACTCGTTGCAGGCGTGCCCGCAGTCAGATGCACCATAAAACCCGGTCAAGACGAGGTGATGCACGTACTCGGCCGTGTCGGCTTGGAGCAAGCCTTCGAAAGCGATGACGTGGTACTGGTGGGTGGCAAACCCGGTGGTCAAGGAAGGCAAACGCCGGGGGGGGAGGGGTTGAGCAACATGAGGATGAGGGCAAGAGCAAAGGGGCGGGGAACAAAAAGAAGGGACGCGCTCAAGAAATTTTGACGGTCGGAAGAGAAGCCGTGGACGTGTCGAGCCTATGCACCGACGGGACTAGGTCAGAGTGTCAAGCAAACGTGCGGCGCTCCGGCAGCTTGCTAGTGTTGCCCCCCATGTCTGACGCAGCCTCAAAAGTTTTACTAGGGGCTGGCGCATCAGGACGAAAATGTACGGTCGGTCCGATTGCACTACTGTCTGTCTCTCGTGCAACCACGATCCTTACGCGTAAACATACCTCTTCCACTGGAAATCAACTCTTCCACGGACATATTCCTCTTCCATGAAAGTTAGCTCTTCCGTGGAACATTACCGCGTCCATGGAAATTTGCCGCTTTAACCAAAATTTACCTCGTCGAGGTCTGGTAGTTCCGAGGCCGTGATACAAGTGTCTTCGTACCAGGTGCGCACAGTCGGGATGGAGAAGTTTTTCTGCATGTTTTCAAAGCGAACGCGACGGCGGGCGAAACATCGCGACGAGAGAAGCAAGACGAGTTTGTTCCCAGGGAAGAGGATGAAGCGTGGACGGGATAATATCTGTGGGGAAGGGTCAGATGAGCCATGGTCCGCTATTTTGCATGTTCGCGGTGCCGTATTTTCCAAGCCTCTGTATTGTCACGAGACCACACAGTGCCCACGCGTTCACGTCAAACACGTTTCTGTGAGAGGGGCCGAAACGCGACGTTCCTCGTATACCTCAACCTTGTTGTTGACGTTCAGGTAGCACATTGTCTTTACAGTGGTAGATCTGGGCAAGCGACCCCCTGTGTGGCGACATGGCCTGTGTATATAGCGATTACAAAATCGCGTGACACCACTACACCCTGACCGTAGCCGCTGTACCCGCAATAGCGACCTGCCCTAACTAGCGACCATGTTCCTCCTGACACTTTTTTTTTTGGTTTTTGTCTTCACTTCAAATCAGCGCTCACAGCACTAGTGCCGTTTACTCCAACCCGTGGTCACACGGAAGAGCCCCTGTCTACTCTCCCCTCCTGCGGTACTTTGCCTTCGATTTTTAATGCGAGAAGAGTTCAGCACTCTCTTCCCTCTGTGCACACACGAACTAGCGCTATCCACCAGGCCAGGAGCGGAAGCCAGCGAAGAACTCACTTTGCAAGAAAAGCTCGCTTACGCCGGATTTCACACCCCTGACCTGACCTCTAGGACGTTTCGAGGGTACCAACTAGACCGCTGGGAAGACCTGCCCTAGGGGTGGCTAGATGTTTCAAGTGTTCGGCGGGTGACCAGACGTTGGCACCGTAGCAGCCCATCCGTGTGAAGGTACGAAGACGTGCTTCCAAAATATCAGGGCATCCGTCGTTATCGTCTGCACAAGGTGATGCTACACCGGGGCCAACTCATTCTTGTCCCCACCCTGCGACTCACCGGCGCCGCATCGAAGAACTGAACGTCCTCGCTAGTCTTGACGTCGACCACCGGGTCGGCGGCATCATCGTTCTCCGATCCGCCGAACATGACGACCTGCCCCTTGGCGAAGTTTTCGTCGTGGTAGCCCACGGTATCCGAATCGCCCCACGCGACGAGGACTCTCGTGGGTTGAGTTCCTGTGACATAAACAAACAACGGCGGTACATGTAGTCTTTGCCGCGATAGCGTGTGTATCTTCTTCAAGACAGCCGTCATGAGCATGATGATACTGGGTCTGATTTTCCCCTCGACTACGTCTGCCGCGTGACATGATGGACTTCTGCGTGTAGACCGCCATCTGGGGACCGAGCCTTGAGCCGCCGGGAAAACTTGGGACGGCAATGCTCGACTACGCGGTCGTGGTTTCGCCGCTTGGCGGCGTGATCAGTGGAGTAGGGGTGGTTCGCTGGATACGGCTCGAGCAATGCGGGGGAGGTGTCCATACTTGTATAAGATACTTGCCTCGACCCGATTTCGATGCTTCTTTTGTCCCCGGAACGCTACTGCACCAGACTCAGCATCCAGTCGTTTCTTCTCCTACTTTATGCAAATATTTCGACGCATTTTCTTCGACTGCTGTGACTATTCCTCTAACGGGTATTATGTAGTTTTCTGTGATTGTATACATACCCTCGAAAAAACCAACTCCTCCTACCGTCCAAGCTGTCATCCGAGAAGACCCGATCTTGATCGTCTCCCGTGTCGAGGGCTCTCTCCGCCTCGAACACAAGGCTCCCGTTTCCTACCTCCGCCGACAGCAAGGTCCAGTCTTGCGTGCACTCGTCGACGACAGGCGTGCCCGCCACGAGGGAGTGAGCGTCCGTCAAGTTCCCGGTCTTGACGCGCGCGGAAAATGGGGGGAGGGGGGGGTACTCATGTCTTGGATGCCTTAGCTGTTAGACCATTGGCCACGCTTCCTCGAGAGGATGGAGTATTGTTACCACAGGACTGATCACCGATGGCCAATCGTCCCATCCTACTTTGCCACAGGTGGCTCTAAACGCCCCTATCCTTTCTATCCGGGGAGATCGAGGGAGAGGGATTTTGTGCACAGTATGTATGCTCACTCGCCGTGTGTTTCGGGTCGAGATCGATCCGCCACAGAGCTACCGATCACGTTGCATCTTAATCCGCAGAAAGCGCTGCTTTGTAGCTCGGGTGCGCGTAACTAAATAAATAAATATATCAGTGGCTTAGGGTCTGGTAAGACGTTGTGGTAGTCGAGAATACCGTTCTGTAACCATTCCGGGAACCAAACACCTTTCCATGACAAAAAAAACAGTTCCGCATACCATTAAATCTCATGGTGGACTTTTCCAGCGAAAGTTCCTGAGAACCGTTCTAGGAAAGCGTGCCTGTTCTAGTACGAAACGTTGTACGAACCGCTGCGGAATCTACCGCATCGATCAGTGGAGGAACGCTCTCGATAGTCCTTCTGATATGTTGCAATCGTCATCTATTGTTCTTCAAGTTGCGTCTACTTCTTCAATCACTTGTGAAACCGCGAGTTTGGCGTGCCATACCAAGTACACCGAAACCGGTATTGTTTCGAGCTACGAAATCGCTGATGTATGTAACTGCGTATACAGCTGTGTTGTTTTGACGGCAATACCTTAATATTCTACAGCAGCCTTTTGCTCAGTTGATGCTGATATACGTCGACGTATTTACAGAAAATGGGTGTGCGGGGGGGGGCGATGTTGTACATACTCGCTCACTCGCGTGTTTCGGATCGAGATCGGCCCGCCACGCGGTAGAGCTACCAAGCACGTTGCATCTTGTTGCACAGAAACCGCGGTTTGTAGCGCGCAACTAGTTATCGATCACACGAGTGTCTTGCAGACAATCCTGACGACTGACTAAAATCTTTCGGTCGTGCGTGGAGTGGTGGTAAAAACACACGCAGATCAATGCCTCGGTTCTTCCGATGAGATATCTCTCCCCGACAACAACCATCCATTCTTCTCTGTCACGAGCAAGCACTCACAGCTGTCTCGTAAAACACAATGAATGTCGGCGCCCTCCATTCCCCCCATCTCAGAGATGCCCACGCCCGCCCAGCCGGTGGCAGCTTTCGCGTGCACGGCCACACGAATGCTTTCGGCCTCGAGATCTACGGTCCAAAAGATGTCCACGTTGGTGTCCAGCGACACGTTCCTGGCGTAGGAGGAGCCATCAAAGCCGTCTGCCGCGGCAACAGCCTGGAGAACAAACACGCCGCAGACCAGGGATAACGCCAGTCGTTGCCCCATGCCGTGGGTGCTTTCAGACAGCGACGATTTCTTCGCCATGTTCCTGCCCGTCTGTGCCCATGCATACACGCGAACGAACGAGCAGGAGAGATCAGCGAACAACACGGGACGAAATAGAGGGACTACGATGGCCGACCGCTTTCACTTCTTCTTCGAGATTCGGGAACTAACTTCCGCAGCAAGAGGGTGTTCGAGGTTTGAAAGGGCGGCAAGCTTAAGCCTGTAGTGTGTAAAGAGCGCTGGATCCACATTGAAGACATGACTAATACTGCTGGGTGTAGGGTTGTTTACGGTGGAAACAAGTCACTAAATACTACCCGCTTCTTGGAGGATGTTCGAAGTACGGAACTCTTCATTTTGTCTTGTCTACAAATGTTGCAGACACAAAAGAATGCTGTAGAAATAAATGAATCTTGGAGGCAAATAAACTTGATAGCCTGGTGACCGCTGTTGCTCTCTCTGCTGGAATCGGAAGGCGGGCATGGGCCTCTCCTGCGCCAAGGCGGCGGTGAGAGCCCCCGTTTCGTGACGAGCCCTTCCTTCGAAAACACCCGTATTCCAAGATTGGTTTACATAAGACAATCGCAAGCTATTTACTAGACGTGTTGAAGATCGTAGCGCATGTCAACAGAGCTGAGAGTCATTTTCTATTTTCTTTGGGCCCGCGATTGAGACGACCATACCACGAACGAGCGTACTGCATCAAGACGGTAAATATTGCCGTTCAGAAAAACACCCCAGCATACCAGGTGGTTCACAACTGTTAACTCTTGGCCATAACAAACTTGACATACCCCGGCCTTCGGACTTGCTGCAAGTCGATCAACAGATAAAGGCGAACCCATCACACCTGAAGGCAAGAAAACAACCCCCAAAATCCGCCCGATCCCAAGTGAACCGACTGCAACATGCAGGGCGGCACTTTCAACCAACACGACGCCCCAATGAAGACCTCTCCAAAGAACCACACAGCAATTTGGCAACGCGCAAAAACACTCCGCCACAAACATGTCGATAGAAAAGTGACGCACAGGAGTCGAGCGAC